AGGGGGTAAAAAGCCCCCTAACAAACACGACTCCATACTGAGGGCTCGAACCCGAGACCTCTGGTTAAGGATACGAAGGAGTACTTACCATTCTATCACGACCTTTGTTGGTCACACTGGGTTTGTTGTTGTTGTATATATATGCATTGTTTCTTAGAAAGAAAAAACTATTATTTGCGCACATACATAAGTAGGGGTGTTCATAAAAACCCGAAAAATCGAACCAAACCGAAAACCAAACTAAACCGACCAAAAAAACGATACTTTTTGGTTTGGTTTTGGTTTTGAATTTTAAAAACAGATCAAATTTGGTTTGGTTTTGGTTTCAATAAAAAAAAAAGAAAAAACCAGAACCAAACCGACTATAGGAGTAGCTATTTCAAATTTATTATTACACCTATATATATGTATATTTTTATACAAAGTTTCAAAATTTTTATGGTAAATGCTGATCGTTTGCACTTTTAGTAATGTTTTTTACCTTTACATTCTAGTTTGATTGGTAGTTTTCTTTTGTTAAATGTAAGAATCCATTTCATGTTAAAAATAATATATTTTTAATTGAGTCCTTAAATTATTCATCAATATTTGATTAAATTATCATCAATATATCTTGGTAAATAATAGATTTCTCAAAGTGCAATTGATTTGATAGCGTTACGTTGAAAATGTGGTCGACGGAATATGTGTTTGGTAGTGTATGTCTTATATTTAAGAAAAAATCCGACAAATAACTGAAAAATCGAAAACCCGACAAAACTCAATATAAACCGAATCGAGAAAAAACGACTTAATTGGTTTGGTTTGATTCTAGTATTTGAAAAACCGACTTACTTGGTTTGGTTTCTTTTTAGGAAAAAACTGATACAAACCGAACCATGAACACCCCTATACATAAGTAAAACCTTTTACGAAGCGGTGTGAGATGATACACCTTAGGGTGTCTGTGCCACTGATTCAGAATCTCAAAATCTTAAGTAGACACAATTGAACCTAATCATTATACAATATTTAGGAGTAAGAAATAGTTAATTCCTAATTCTGGTTTGGAATTTCTAAATTAATTAATCTATGCTATTTAAATGTGTTTGGAATTTGCAGTCTACAGGATCTTTTTTTCATGATAGGAGCACCACACTTGGAAGTCTAATTGGTGTCTCCAGTATAGTTAATAATCTCTCAAGAAGATCAACAAGGTCAAGATCAAATGGTGTAATCACAAATGTCCAAAAAAACTACAGATCAAAAACAACATGGTGTTTCTCTTTATGTCCAAGAAACAACACAGATGCTGAGAGTGTAATGATGATAAGGAACAATGACAGTAGTAATACTCCATCACTTGGTCATTTTCTTGCTGTAGAAAGAAGAGCTAATGCTAATGGACATAGAAGAAGTCATAACCATAGTCCTTTGTTATATGGACCTGATGAATTTGCTATGGCATTGCCTAATAGAGATCAGAATTCATTGTTTGCTAATGGACAAATTGCTCCTCCTCAGTTGAGTCCTTGGTCAGGATCTGATGTTGAAAATAGACAGAGGGCTAACAGAGAATTAGAGCATGATGTGCATGGCCAAGGTGCTCCACTTTTGTTTCCATGCATGTGTGGATGATATCTTAGGTTTGTTTCGTAATACAACTCTGTGTATTCCCTGATTCTTGTTTCTAATTTGTTTCCGTTTATTCAAGGGCTAAAGCACGTATCTCTGGAGTGCAGGATAATATGGACTTTTTGTGATTTACTTGATCGTCAAGAAGATTTAATAGCGCTTCAGATTGATCTCGAGGGACTTCTCTTGATCAGTCTTTTTTGTTTTCTTTAATTCAGGGGACAATGTTGAAGAAGCTTTTGTTAAGGAGCATTTTCCTTCTTAGTGGTGCTAACCCACACATATTTAGATTAGTCGAATGCAATGTACTTTAGATACTGAATTATTAAAGAAACAATGCGTGGCTAAACCTAAGATACTGAATGATATCTTAGGTTTGTGTCGTAATATAACTCTGTGTATCCCCTGATTCGTATTTTTAATTTGTTTTCGTTCTTCAAGGGCTAAAGCATGCATTTCTGAAGTGCACGGTGATATGAACTTTTTTGTGATTTACTTGATTGTCGAGAAGAGTTAGTAGCACTTCTGATTGATCTCGAGAGATTTCTCTTGATCACTCCTTGTTTTCTTCAATTCGGGGACAATGTTGAATATTTTAGTAAGGAGCATTTTACTTCTTAGTGGTCCTACCCCGCGCATATCCAGATTAGTCAGACACAATGTGCATCAAATATCGAAATGATTAAAAAAAACAATGCTTGGCTTATTGATCAAACCAACATACTAATAGCAATTAGCTTAGTTCTATTTGCTATATACATCTGTTCATTTTATATTGTGCCCAAGATCCTAATTTTGTTGATTTTGTTATTCATTCTCCTTATGAAGAGACTTATCCATTTTCCTCACTCTCTTTGCTACTTCTTGATAAAGCTATTAATTAGTTACATTTAAAGACATTAAGTCAATAATATAATTTCTTTTTCTTTCTCTTTACTTCCTAGTTAAGCTGGATAATGTGTTGTAAATGGCTGCTTACAAATTTCACAACAATCTTCATCTGGTAATTATTGGCTTAATAAATACAAATAACTAGTGGTATGGGGTTGATCCTGTATATTTTAATTCTTGTTAGCACATGATTTCATATGAAAGCATGTAATCACTAGCATATAACACCCTAAAGGCAACCCGATGCACTAAACTTCCGTTATGGACGGGGTCCGGGGAAAGGCCTGACTACAAGGGTCTATTGTTCGTAGCCTTAGCTTGCAATTCTGCAAGAGGCTGTTTCCACGGCTTGAACCCATGACCTTCTCGTCATATAGCAACAACTTTACCAATTACGTCAAGATTCCTCCTTCACTGACATATAACACCCTGCAGAAAAGAAATGTCTGCTTATAGAAGTGTTTTATTGATGTATAGATAAGACAGATTAAATGATCAATTGTATGAAGTTGCAGTACTTTCTTTCAGAAATAGAGAAGTGATTTCTACACTCAAAATGATAGGAATTGATTAGAATGGCGGAAGCAGGATTTTCACCAAGGGATTCAAAAATAAAAATGTACAAACTAAAAAGCTAAAAAGATTCAACATCTAATATATATACATAGAAAAAAATTTGACCTTACATGCACATTGTAATTTTCGACAAAAGGGGTTCAGTTGAATCCTCTTCAACCCGCGCACCTAGATCTGACCCTGGATCAGAGTTCTTTAATATTATAGAACCCATTAAGTTATCATTATATGCTAGGAGTTTTACAACTTAGCAAGTGAGATAAAGCAGATCCGAACATCAATGTTATTGAAAAAGAAAAGAAGGAAAAAAAACTCCTTTTTATAATTTGTTCTTCTTCAAATATACAACTAACTAGGGATTGCATCATTAGTCAGGCTACAATAAAGGAATAAGATAATGTAACAATCTTTGTCTAAGTATTTTGAGACAATGATCATATGATTATTAACATAAAGTCAACAATTTAAAATTATCTATAATTATAATCGGCGTGTATAAGTCGATATTCCTAGCCTTAATTTGTGCTTAAGATTCTCTATCTGAAAATGTATATTACTACTATATTATAGCAATAATGCAAAGAAAGGTCATACATGGAAAACATAATACTGATATGAAATTGCTCTTTCAGAAACATTAAAACAGAATATATAGGTCTAGAATATGGGTCAATTATTGTGAGAAATTCAAAAATAGCCACAGTTTCAAAAGTAATCGAAATTTAGCCATTTTTTATGTAAAGATAAATCTGAACGAAAACACTGTTCAAAATACGGAAAAATACACCAGTATAATATACTGGAGTTCCAATATACTTATGCTGGAATATACTGGAGTTCCAGTATAATATACAGGATTGGAGCACCATTGCTCCAATCTCCAGTATATTATACTGAAACTTTCCGCGTGTTGGAGTTCCAGCATAATATGCTGGAAATTCATACACGGGTACATTGATTTCCGGTATATTATGCTGGAACTTTCCGTGTTACAGCAAAATAGCGGCTATTTTTTAATAACTTTGTAAACACTGCTATTTTTAAATGACTAGTCCGAAAATTGGCTAGCCCGTGCTATTTTTATTCAATTATTATTATTCATTTCCCCTTTACACAAATAGACACATTTAATTTTAGACCAAGCCATTTTCACCAAATGTCAATACCCAATTGTCTCTTTGCCTTTATAAGTAATCTAGTAGCAACTAGGGCAAATTGTTCTTTCTTTTTATAGAAAATTTGTTTATAAAGGTAATGGGTTATCAAGTGGACAAAATATACAATAGCTTAAGAAAAAGGCAANATATATATTATAAGAGCAGTTATACAGTGTTATTTTTTTAAACCAAAAATAGAATTCAACTATAGTAAAAGCCACCTTTTTATGATTTAAAGTGCTGTTGTCGTTAGAAATTCTTGTAACCGATGGCTTACTATTTTGAAAATAATTTAATTCGTCAACTTGGTCATTTCAAACTATTTTTAACAATTTCTCCCTTGTCTCTTAAAATTGATTAGTCACCATTATTTGATTTGTATGTAATTAAGGAGACACTTAAGAGCAATACTGCAACTCGTGTGATTACCTAAATTTTGAGGTAATTAATTAGGTCATGAATGTAACGTTTATTTTTCTTGGTCATTTTCTTGTCGTATATTATACGTCTTTTTAATTAATTAATTTAATGTGCATTTTCAACCGTTTTGATGGGATTGGAGCCTCACAAAATATCTTACTCATATATTTATTAATTCTGTTCATTACAACATGACACGCGCATCAGTTTAAAATTGAAAAACCTAAAAGGCCACCACGGAAAATTAGACGTATAATTCATGATTGTCGTATATGACAACATTTTGACTATTTGCCTCTAATATTTCAATTTCTTTCTTGGTTAAATTATAGAACTTTAAAGGCTGATCACAAGAATAACTTTCAGGAAAATGCAATTGTCCAGCTGCTTTCAAAATAAAAGCCAAAAAAAATATGTATTTTGTATATGTTATAAACAAAAATTATACAAATTTTCGACTATCGAATATAAATAATTTTTGTTGCAGACTAAAAGTGAAACCCCCCCATAACTTTATGCAATTCTTATATTTTATCTCTCTCTTTTTTTCTTTTCTTTTTTTTTTTTTTTACTTTTGACCAACAAAATTCCCTTTTTTTTAATTATAATTATTGCAACCTAGGTTCAAACGTTAATTCCACCTTTAAGCACGTAGGCTAATTCTTCTTTACATTGATTAACAACAATGATCAAAACACTATGGAATTCAAATTTGTAATTTGTAGTTCTGAATTGTAATATTTTTGGACATTGGGCTATGCCTTTGAAACGTATTTCTAGACCACCTTAATTTGTAGACGAATTAGCTTCACGTAAATATAATAAAGATTTATTGACTAATAAATAAGTTATGCAGAGATTATAATTAAAATTATTACTTACCATGCCTCAATCCAAATTAGTTGGCAACTATGGAATCTTCAATATTTATTTCGCGCCATTTGCACATGTTAACCCGTGTCTAGAAAAGCATTTCACAATGTAAACCATTTTATGTTTTGAAAATTCATTTTAAATTGACTAGTTTTATACTAGTTGTGAACCTATCGCAACAACCATCAAATAAGTCATAAAGTTGTCTTTGTATGACTTATAAGTTCGAACTGTGAAAACAGTCTAGGGTAGGTTGTCAACATTATATGCAGCTGCTAACAAATTAGTTATGTGAATTATTTTTTCTTTCCGAGCTACGGAGCAACAATTGTCTCCGTGTGACCTATAGGTCACGAGTTCCAACCATGGAAGCATCCACTTGCATTAAGGTAGGTTATCTACACTATATCCCATGTGGTGCGGCCTTTCATCAAATCCTGTGTGAATACGGAATGCTTGTGTGCCAGAGTGCATGATCACGCCCAATTATGCCTTATATAAAGGACACGCAGACGTTGCAAATATAATCTGAGTATTTAGCCCAGAGTCGAACCCACAAGGAATTAACCTATCAATTAGTTCTCGTTAGACTTACTAAATTCCACGGAATCAACTTCTCAAACGTTGTAAATAATAATTGAGGGTATTTCTACTAACTACGAATGAATGTAAATAAGCAACTGAAAAATAACTATAATTGAGTTGTAAACTATTAAGAGAAGGTTCGGAGGCTATGATTTCCCCTATTGATGGACTCCCTTCCGGTTATGCTTCACATATAATCACAAATCATCTCTATCAATCCTGAGCACTCTTACTACCGTAAATCTCTCCCGAGTAATCACGATAATCTACTAGACGCACTCTCTCGAATTACGCTAGCTGGCTTATTTACTACAGCTCACTTTAGATTACACTCATGGCTTCGTTATCCCTAATCCCACCTTTAAACCCGCAATTATTGATCCCTCATATATTTTGAGAGTGGTGTTGTTAAACAATTACCTAAATATGCACTCTCTCCCGAGTTATATACACTAAATAGGCACAGTTAATTGAGGATCCTGTAAATTAACTACAACAAGCACGTAGTTGAACAAATAGAGATTAAAATGGCAAACTATATTAACATAATCAAGAAGTTCATCCTTCAATAGGTTCCATCAACCTTAGACTAAATATTTAGCTATTCATACTAGTGTTCATCACAACAATAATCAAATTCATCACAAATCATAAAACAAAAGGAAGAAAGGAAGAACTTGATGTTGAATTCTCCTCCTTGCCTCTTGCCTCTCCTTTTCTTGCACTAAGCTATGAAAAGCTGCATAATCCCTTCTTGGGCGAGCTTGACCTTCTATAGGTTAAGTGAATTTTCCCCCAGACTTCCAAGTTTACCCCTGGAAATTAATATTCCGGAACTGGGCTAGCGCGGCCGCGCTAATGGCCGTGCTAATGCCCTACCATTCTGCCTCAACCATCTGGCTAGCGCGGTCACGCTAATGGCCGCGCTAGTCCAGGCCTTCATTTTAACTATTCTTTTTCT